CTCTAAACTAATAAACTGTAAAAATACCACTGACCATCAACGATTATGGTTTGATTAATAGCCACAGGTAAATTCACCTAATCGTAAGTACTACAATTGCATTAAAATGGTTCGAATAGGAACTTGAATAGAGCAATAACAATAGACGAACGTATAATTGTGTGATAAGTCATTAGCGGTTCGTAGAATATTGCTGATTAAAGGAATTGGTAGCGTTGTTAAGGCGTGTAATTCACTATTGCTGGTGAGTCGTTGTAAAATGGCACTTGTCGGTGCGTACGGCAACAGTCTTGTGGTTTTTTGCAGTGACGATATTAATGTCCGCGCACCGAACTCTTCCACTGGTTCTGTAAACAGTTCTATGATCTGACCATAANTCAACAAACCTGAAGCTACTGTTAGATAGTCAGGCGCTTTAGCTGAACTGAACCGGATAACGCGTTTATCAGATGTTAACGCAAATAAGGCGATTGGCTTTGTGGACCGATCCACACCGAAATCAATCAACTATAAAACGAAAACAATTCACAAAAATCATTTAAGATGTGATCTGAACTCACTGATCCAAATCATTTTTAATTCAACTGCTACAAAACATCCACCAAACATATAAAAAGGTAACGCAATATTTAATGAACAAGAAAAAAAACAAATTTTCAACGTATTTGAGGGAGAGGTGTTCAATACCCTTCTACAATCTCAGGTTTAGGGCAAGGGTTATACTCTTGCCCATCTATCTGTACCAGGATTAAATTCTGGGCAGACAAGAGTAGCGTAGATGATTCCCTGGGATTCACGAGATCTGAAACAATCGCAAATTTTATGGGGTACCCTGGCCTAACGACCTCGCCACTGATCTAATCCTTATCAATACAGCTAATGGAATAACAATCTATTGTTTTTTCAAACAATAATACATAAACCAACAAATTTTACACCACTTCTAAGAAATACCAAAATCAAATGAAAGAAATCACAAAAAAGAAACAACTAAGGACAACGCAACGACCTCGCAGTTAGTCAACAAATCGACCTCCTCTAAACACTTCACTGTGACCACATCCGTGCTCCCTTCACCGATCATCAACAATACCAAATGTTGTTTAAAGAAATAAATAAAATACAAATTGTCGATTGAGTACAATTGTGTCAATNTACATTACTCGGACTGCATTCATTCACGTTTCTGAAAGACTCAAAAACAAACTCAGAATGTTCAATCACAAAACAAAACTTCCACTGAGGCAAATTTTAATGAGCATACCTATTTAACAAACCAAAGTGTTATAGGCCTTAGATTCACCTCGTTTCCTTACAATTAGAAATCTTTAGGTAATACAAAAGGGTAGTGCTCTTTATAATCGCTCAATCAGCAAACTGATTCCATGGATTTCCATAAAAACAAATGATTCCCTGCGCTTTTAGCGTTGGCTACGTGGAAGAAGGCTGGTAAGAGAAGAAAGCAGTCTAACGAATCGTAAATGCTGTTCAACTAAATAAAATCAAAATGACACGCATAACCAGCTAATCGATAGCGGAAAAAATGTTCATAAATTTTTCCTCTCATAACATCAAAACCATTGAAATCAAAATTGAACATTAAATAAACTCACTCATCTGCAATTGAACAGCTGCACTCTAATTTGGCTTGTATCTGAAACAAACCAACAATCTCGAACCATCAGAAACAT